TGGGCTTCCAGTGTTGATTGAGTCAGGAACTACCTTAGCAAGTCTCCAGGCCTTCCGTGGTTTTTGTTTATCTTTTTCTTTTTCATAAAATGCAGATGTACGACTCATTTCTTTTTTTTTTTTTTTTTTTTAACGACTCATTTCTTACTTGCTTCTAGCTCTAAAACATTTTGGTTATATGAGAAATGTGAATATGGGCAAGTATTCAGATTAAAGAGTCACTTCAGGCTAATGAAGTGAAGAGATGATTAACACAAATCAGTCAAGATAAATATGCAGTGACAGGTGGTTAGAAGACAGTAAGAGAGGATGCTAAATTTTGAACAGGTGAAACTGCTTAATTATAACTTCAAAGGTTGGCTCCCTACAGTTTGTTAATGAAACATCAAGGAAGCAAACAATTGAAATGTTAGAACTGCCAGTTCTGAGAAAAAACACCTCAGGTCATCTTTTCTCTGGCTGCACAAAGTGTGGTCTATCAAAAACACGCAAAAACAATAAGTAATATAAATTATTATTATAAAACCATTTTTATGCTATAACCCAGAGAAAATACCTAACAGTGTTATCATTTTGGTATATTTCTTTCTTTTCCTATGTGCATAATAAATTTTTATTTAAAACTATATTACATTTATGCATTTTGATCTGAAGCATATTTTTAAAAGGCAGTATATTCAATCGTGTCGGTATCCCAAAGTGTAACTGAGCTCTCACTTTTGGACACTAGAGCTGTTTTAAGTCTTCATATATTATAAAAAGTGTTGCAACAAATATATGTAAAACCTAGGGTACGCCTCTGATTAATTCCTCATGATAAACTCAAGAAGCAGGCTGAGTCATTGGATACAAATATTCTTATAGCCTTTCCGACACACTGTTAGACTGCCCTTCAAAATGGTGGCACCAGTTTTCTAAAGGATTTAAAAATAAATTGCATGAATCATCTGCTCCTATCTTTCAGTGCAAGACAGATGGGGTTTGCATAAGAGATAAGTTTCTTAGAAAACAGCAGAATTAGACAAAGTAAATAAATCACATAGTTAAATTAGTTGATAATTAGTATGGTTTAATAAATAATGGGTTTTACAGTCTACAAATTTTCTCTAAGTTATTTTTTGGGTTTCTGAAATTACTGAGTTTTCATCATGCTGATAATCAAAGTCTGTACTCTGATTATAAATCATTGGTATTTAGAATCCTGACTTAAGTTGCCTTTGAATCTAGGATACAGTCCCTAATGGCCACAACAGTTAACCATTTATCTATAAATGAATGATACCTGGGGACAGAAACTCTCTTAAGAGAGACCTGAAAAGTCTAATTAAGAAATGTTTCTGGACTTCCTTGGCAGTCCAGCGATTGGGACTTTGCCTTCGAATGCAGGGGGTGCAGGTTCGATCCCTGGTTGTGGAGCAAAGATTCCACACTACCTCGCGGCCAAAAAACCAAGACGTAAAACGGAGGCAATATTGTAGCAAAATCAATAAAGACTTTTAAAAAAACGGTCCACATCAAAAAAATCTTAAAAAAGGAAATGTTTCAAACTAAAAACACAAGTATTGGTTAAGTCATTTTAAATGCCATCTTGACACTAAAACAAGCAAACAAAGACAGATCAAGGAAAAAAGGGAAAAAATTAAAGGAAAAAATTCTAAAATAAGAGGTAAAAAGCAAAAAGATAAAAATAAAAGTAGAAATGCTGAGGCATATTCCATAAATTAGAAAAATCTAACTTAATGGGAACATTAACAGAGGTAACAGAAGTAGAGTCAGTGGGAGGAGGCTGCAGAAACTAAGAACAAAGACAAGGGAACAAGTAGGAAGAAAAAGTGAATAAATGGTCAAATATCATTTTATGTTACAATACAGTGTTATAGCTACCTTCTTCTACACTATTATTCAGCCACCTCAACTAAGTAGGACATAGCTGTGACTAGAAAGCAAGGGAAAAAGGATTCTCATGATAGCCAAAACTACAAAAGTGAGTGCTTCTCTCAATACGAGTAATCACTTCGTCCATACTCTAACAGAATAGAATGTTAAAAAGGCTGGTTATGTTTTCTCTGTCAGTAGCATATGAAAAGTAAATCAGAAGCAAAAGGAGACTGCTTGAGACTGGTACACTGATAATACCACCACATTTACCAGTGATAAAGGACACGTACACACACATACACACACATACACCATCACCACCACCACCAATGACAAAAAGTTCAAAAGCTGAAAAAACACAGCAGTCTGAAAACACGAGAAGGGACAAACAACCCAGAGCCTCACAATTAGCCCTAAATGCATCAGAGAATGACATCCCTAAGAGATGAAAAATGTTTAAATTATGATCAGTGAGCTCTGTTTAAAACAGAAGGCACAGACCACAGTTAAAGCAGTTTCCACCCTAGATGATTAAAACAAAAAAGTGGAGATAGGCTTCAATACCTGAAAGTGTTACTTAGGTTAAACATCTCACTCTCTAGTCAAGATAATTACAGTACAACAAAAATAATGAAATGGGGGGACTTCCCTGGTGGCGCATTGGTTAAGAATCCACCTGCCAATGCAGGGGACACTGGTTTGATCCCTGGTCTGGGAAGATCCCACACGTCAGGGAACAGCTAAGCCCGTGAGCCACAACTACTGAGCCTGCGATCTAGAGCCCGAGAGCCACAACTACTGAGCCCACGTGCCACAACTACTGAAGCCCACATGCCTAGAGCCCATGCTCTGCAACAAGAGAAGCCACCGCAATGAGAAACCCGCGAACCACAACAGAGTAGCCCTCACTCACTGCAACTAGAGAAAGCGCACACGCAGCAATGAAGACCTGACGCAGCCAAAAAAAAATTAATTTAAAAAAATAATGAAACAGAACAACAGATGGTAAAGAAACCTTAATTTTGAACGTGAAGAAGATAAAGAAACCAGATTTTAAATCTATCTGAATCATGTAAACATGCTATTAAGCGACCTAGTGTGGCTTGTATTTCCGTACACAATGTGTAACGATATGGTGTTGAGAGCACACTGACGTGTCACATTTGCCTAGGTATGTGTACTTTTGTGCCACTTGAATATTGGTCACTTGTGCTCCTCTAAGAAATTCAAAAGCCACATAAATAAACAAACAAAAAACCCACCTGCTATCACCTGGATCCCTTCAATACTTCACACAGAACTAGGATTTGCACCTTTTCACTAATAGTTACAACAGAGAGCTGCAGTAATTTTAGTTCTCAATCAACAATTTATATTTGGCAAAATTTTAGCACTTACTATGGGCCAGGTACCAGCTCTATGTAAATGTAGCAAATTTAATCATAGAAACTTAGAGTCCAGAATCATCTAGAATGTGCAGTTATATAATCAATTTTCTATTTTCAACCAGTTTCTCCAGTCCTAATAAAAATGGGAATGTATATTTCTTTATCTGGTATCATCATCGTTAAAAAACAGACAAAATCCCAACTTTCTTTTTCTCTGTGAATGAGATATAATTTTATCTGTATTATATTATCATCCTCAGAAAAACACCATGTTAGAATTAAGAAAATGTTAAGAAATTTCAGCCCAAAAGAGTAATATTTTGAGATACCATGTTAAAAAAAAACTCAGAAGAGTATTTAAATAAAACTATACTTTTTTTTCTGCCAAAACTTTGTTTTACAATGCAGCTGATTTTGAAATGAGATAACCCGATAACATTGACCAAATATACTAAGACCTTTCTTTAGACATCTAAATCTATACCTAGTGAGCCTTCTAGCTTTCTAACTTTTAATGTCATGGTAACATGTAAGAAAAAGCACAGAAAACAAACATGCACCCATGAAGTAATCTTGCCCAAAAGCTTGTACTTGAATCTGTTGAAGGCTCTGTATCTTTCAATTAAAACAAAAAATGTAGGGCACAGAGGAACATCACGGGGATGCAAACATCAAAATCTAGTCCATGAGAAATGCCACAAGACAGATGACCCAGTTTCTTCAACAAATCAATTCACAGGTTTTCTCAGCACTTCATGAAAACCCACAGCTTCAATCTCACCTCTGTGAAACCTGCTAGAGTTTCTCACTCCATGGATACTTGTATTAGGGCACTTTGAATGTGTGTCTCCCACTACAGGATGAGCACAGTGGAGTACAAAAGAGTAGCTTAGAAAGGGCTCTGAAGCTAGCCTTTCAAGCCTGAGTTGAAATCCCAGCTTCGCCCCCTCAGTTAACTCATCTATAAAACAGAGAAAATACCACCTGCTGCTCAAAGAAATTTAAGGATTCAGTGAGAAAATATATGTACAGCACCTAGCACAATGCTTGGCATATCTTAGGCAGTGAAGGACTATCTAATGAGTGAATAAATGAAAATGATAAGCAGAAAAATTAAGTAATTGTGAATTTTATCTCCTTCAACTTCATCTAACTACCTTCTAACAGTATCTAGTGAACAGTAAAATGCCAAAATGGTCAACAGTAAGAAAAAAATTAAGGAAAGATAAGTGAATAAATAGGTTATCAAATAACTACACTTGAATCTAAGGTACTAAAAAACAGTTTAATCATAAGAAATACCACCTGATAAAGCATCGAGTGATTAAGAAAAGAGCTAAACTTGACCAAACCCGGTAAAAGTGATGAAATTTATTTTCTAATTAAAAGTGATCAACAAATCACCTTCAAGCATAATTTTTAATAATATGGAAAACATTTTTAAAGAAATTTTTAAATGTCCACATTACTATTCTGAATCTTTTCAGAGTTTTCTTGTTTTAACCTAAAAAAAAAAAAAAATTAAAAAATTAATTCAACCAACTTTTCCATCTGAACAGTAGGTGGCATAACTTACATACTCTGAGCCAGTTGCTGTAAAATGAGTGGTATGGTAGTAAAAAAAACAAAAAAGTTCAATAGACCATCATCCAAAATTCTGAAAACATTCATTTAAAAGTGTTTAAAAGTCCTAATTTGAAAATAAAATCTTTCAAATAATATAAAAATACTTACATCTCAATTTGTCCAGCATTTTTCCACCACACATGGTTGCTAACATAGCTTTAACTGAAAATACCGTCAACTTGCCTCGGCCCTCACTGCAAAATAAATTATATTAGAAATAATTGCTATCTGGAACCACAAAAGCAATCAAATGTATCACCAGTAAAATGATTCCTGCCCTTCTGTTACAATATTACCACATTTAGAAACCTTGGATTCTTTTTTTCCTTTACAGAATTAAGGCTTCACATATGCTATGTGAACAGTGTTAAAACTAACCTGGTTTATTTGGCAATGAGTTTAGAAACACCCTATAAAGCAACTTCTGTTGGCTTTGTAGGCAGAGGCCAAATGAATGAACCTAAAAAACATCCTACCAACTTAGCCCATTAAATCCACAGCTGAGGTGTTTAAGTATTCAAATCTGAGGCACCACCTGGTTTGAATAATAATTCAGAAGTGTGTCCTTCCATCAGGATATTATAACAACAGTTTATTGTTACGTACTAGGGCAACAGGATGCATGTTGCTATAAAGATTTTATACTACCTTCATCTTTGCTTGTTTTCACTGTAACAACCTTTATGTTACCATGTGTTTATTCTAAGAAGTTCATCTGTCTCATCTGAGACATCTGTGTTAGATCTCCTGCCACCACTGTGAGAAAAGTGAAGGGGAAGGGACAGTATTATCAATTCTTCTTCAGGAACTAGAAAGATGAAATGTAGACCATAAATGAACTACTCAAAGTAACGCTATACACCACCTGCAGAGCCAGGACAATAACAGCAAGGCCCCAACCCCTATGGCCACTGCTCCAACCATTCAACTATGTCCTGGTTTCAGAGAAGATGAAAACTTCACTAGCCTGTTTTTAAAGTCACATATGTAAATTAACAATGGGCTTTTGTGTTAATTTTATAAAGCTTGTGCTTACAAAGTTTCAGTGACTTAGAGTAAAATACCTTTGCAATAATGAGAACTATATTTATATTTATATAAATATATAGTAAATATATATTTATATTTACTAATGGTCCTAAGAGTGTCTCCTATTTTCCAAACCTTTTTGTATACAGTAAGATCACATCTGAAAAAAGGCAAATGGTCAATAAGCCAGAAAATTCTCAGTGAAAATACTGCCAGGAGACACCAATGTTTGTTACAGTTGATTTTTAACTATTACATCTCATTAAGTTTACTCATAAGATAAAACAGGAATTCCCCCAAAACTAGCTAAAATTAGAATGGGACTTTTAATATACACAGATCATCAGAAATACAGATTCTGTTCCATGTCTTATATAGTACCTGGCAATATATCACCTGGAAATGATAAAAAATAGTCCTATGTCAAATATTCATTGCATTATATGAGCAACGTGAGTGTCTATAAAGAGCAACAACTGTGTTAAAAGTGATGGATTTCCAAGACTGATACAGACCTTTTACAATGGACATTTCTTTTTGGTCGCCAACCATCCAAACGCTGAGTCTACATTTAAGCACACCCTACCTTATATGACAAGTATACATCCCACTACCAAAGTATGAAGAAGGAAAAAAAAAAAACTTTCCCATCTTCCTTTGAAACTAAGACAGGGGCACATAATACAAGCTCCGCCAATAAGATGCACCACTCTAGACTTCAAATAGAAAACAATTAACTTGTAGAAGTAAGAACTCCAAAGAATCCACCTGGCGAGGATGTCAGCAGTAGGAGCAGTTACATCCAGTGTCCTGAGAGCTGGGACAGAGATTCTCATGGCAGCAACCACAGCCCAGCATCAGTGGCTTTTGGAGCACAAGCAGCAATATCTATGCCCAGCTTGGTGGCAGAGGGACTTCCTGAGACCAGTTTTGTAGTATGATTTTGAGCTTTGTTCTTGGCAGTGTGGTCATCAAGCCTACTTTCCCAACCTTCTTAGAAAGCCGATTGGTCACCCATATCCTTTTAATGAATTAGCTAGAGATGGTTCCTACTGCTTACAACTAAGAATTCTGATGGATGCAGCTTCTACCCTGAAGTAAAGTGGCCCAGAAAGATGAAGTGACAAAAGAAAGTATTCCTGAAGCTCAAAGCAAGAGTAAGCAAGCCTGATGACCAGCAGAGCAAGGATGAAGAGCAAGTGCTCACCAGCAGAAAAGTCAAGCCTTGCTGCAGAGCTAACGACATTTTTTAAGGTAAACTTGCTCGAAACGTTTTTTGCAGACACAGATTTCATGACTTAAGAACACCCAGAAAATTCCACAGGGGAAAGTAAAACCTAATCTTAAGAGAGATTTCCACAGAAATCAGGATACTGATTACCTCTGGGGGAAGAGAGAGGAGTTGTAACACAGAAAGGAGAACACAAGGGGCTTCTGGGGTGCTGACAACATTCTATTTCTTGGCCTCCGGAGTATTTATATGGATATTTGTTTTAAAGCAATTCATTAAACTGTACTTTGTTTTAGGTATTCTTCCGTAGGTGTTTTCTATTTCTGAATAAAAACTGTTTTAAAAAATGAATCCCGGGACTTCCCTTGTGGTCCAGTGATAGAGAATCCGCCTTCCAACGCAGGGGACAGGCGTGCGATCCCTGGTCAGGGAACTAAGATCCCACATGCCACGGGGCAACTAAGCCCACGCATCACAACTACTGAGACTGCGCACCTCAACTAGAGACCCTGCGTGCCGCAAACTACAGAGCCCACGTGCTCTGGACCCTGCGTGCCACAACTAGAAAGAGAAAACCCCCAACGCCACGACTAGAGAGAAGCCTGTGCACCACTACGAAGAGCCCACGCAACAACAAAAGATCCCGCATGCCTCAATGAAGACCTCGCATGCCACAACTAAGACCCAATGCAGCCACAAAAAGAAATTTAAAAAAAAATTTTTTTTTAATGAATCCTGAGGGACTTCCCTGGTGGCGCAGTGGTTAAGAATCCACCTGCCAACGCAGGGGACACGGGTTCGAGCCCTGGTCCGGGAAGATCCCACATGCCGCGGAGCAACTAAGCCCGTGCACCGCAACTACTGAGCCTGCACTCTAGAGCCAGCATGCCACAACTACTGAAGCCCTTGCGCCTAGAGCCTGTGCTCTGCAACAAGTGAAGCCACTGCAACGAGAAGCATGCGCACCACAACGAAGAGTAGCCCCCACTCACAGCAACTAGAGAAAGCCTGTGCACAGCAACGACCCAACACAGCCAAAAATAAATACTAAAATTTATTAAAAAAAAAGAATCCTGGGAAAGTGAGGGTTACCATTACTAGACAAAGGTAATGGTTTAAAGGAGAGAATAATGAAAGGGAAAAATACAGGCTAAAAAACATTTAAGATATATAAACTGCAATGCATAAAATTTTCCATAATGAAAATTTCCATAATAAAATATATAAAAAGAATAAAAACATTAAAAACCCCAAGGCCCCAGCTTTAGATGTCTATTAATAGAAGACTGGCTATTAGGCTATCATAAAAAAGAATGAAAAAAAACATATGAAAGATAGAGAATTATATCCAAGATAGATTACTTAAAAAAAAAAAAAAAAGCAAGGCATGGAACAAAATAATTGCTAGAATGTAATCTAGCAATTACGTTAGAAAGGAGAGAGTAAAAAAATATTTTCATATATTTGTATATGCATAAGCTGTCTGAAAGGATACTGAAAAAATAACATTAGTTGCATCCAGGGTCAAAAGCAGGCAGCCAAAGGAAAGCAATGAAAGAGTGGGCACTTTTTACTTTATAAATATTAAATGTTTATACTAGAAGAGAAGGTTCTTAAGCCAATAACCTAAGCTTCCATCTGAAGACTCAAGAAAAAGAACAGCAAATTAAACCCAAAACAAGCAAAAGGGAAAAAATAATATGAGTAAGAACAGAAATCAATGAAATTGAAAACAGGAAATCAATACAGAAAATTAATGAAACCAAAAGCAGGTTCTTTGAATAAACCAATAACATCGATAAATCTCTAGCCAGACTGACTAAGAAAAGACACAAATTACCAATATCAAAAATGAAAGAAGGGATATCACCACAGGTTTTCTAAACATTACAGAAATAATAAGGAAATATTACAAAAACTTTATGTCCATAAATTCAACAACTTAGATGAACTGGAGACACAAACTACTCCTTGAAAAATAGAAACTATTAAAGCTCACTCAATAAGAAATAGGTAGGGCTTCCCTGGTTGCGCAGTGGTTAAGAATCTGCCTGCAGGGCTTCCCTGGTGGCGCAGTGGTTGAGAGTCCGCCTGCCGATGCAGGGGACACGGGTTTGTGCCCTGGTCCAGGAAGATCCCACATGCCGCGGAGCAGCTAGGCCCGTGAGCCACGGCTGCTGAGCCTGCACATCCAGAGCCTGTGCTCCGCAACGGGAGAGGCCACAGCAGTGAGAGGCCCGCGTACCGAAAAAAAAAAAAGAATCTGCCTGCCAATGCGGGGGACATGGGTTCAAGCCCTGGTCCGGGAAGATCCCACATGCCAGAGAGCAGCTAAGCCCGTGTGCCACAACTACTGAGCCTGTGCTCTAGAGCCCACGAACCACAACTACTGAGCCCATGTGCCACAACTATTGAAGCCCACGTGCCTAGAGCCCGTGATCCGCAACCAGAGAAGCCACGACAACGAGAAGCCCGCGCACTGCAACGAAGAGTAGCCCCCGCACACTGCAACTAGAGAAAAGCCCACGTGCAGCAATGAAGATCCAATGCAGCCAAAAATAAATGAATTTTAAAAAAAGAAGAAACAGGTAATCTGAATAGGCCCATATCCATTATAGAAGTTGAATCTGTATTTTTACACCTTCCAAAAAAGAAAGCTCCTCATTCAGATAGCTGTATTGGCAAATTCTAAACATTTAAAGAAGAAATAATTGCAGTTCCACTCGCTTCCAGGGAATAAAAAAGGAGGGAACACTTCCCAATTCTTTTATGAGGGCCAGCATTATTCTGATAACAAAAACGCATACAGGGCTTCCCTGGTGGCGCAGTGGTTGAGAATCTGCCTGCGAATGAAGGGGACACGGGTTCGAGCCCTGGTCTGGGAAGATCCCACATGCCACGGAGCAACTAGGCCCGTGAGCCACAACTACTGAG